TTCCTTTGAGCAACTTATTCGTGTCACCTCCCCCAGGAAGCCTTCCCTGATTGGCTGGGAGAATTCCTCCAGCTGAAGGTAAAAAAAAAATAAGGGATTCCCATGCAGTGTGCTTCACCATGTCTGCCTACATTCAGCTCTCCACACCAGGGGAAGGGGTAGGCATGGAAAGTAGATGGTGCCCAACGAACTGTGTTTCATTTTCTTTGGGGGAAGCTTGGAAGGGTTATCCCACAATAAATGGGCTTCCTGGGTCTACCAAATGACTCTGCAGAGACTTGGGCAGGAGTAGGGGAAAATTAGGGAGTTTGGACCATCTCTACCTGGTGAGGGATGAGGTTTTCCAAGAACTTTAAAACCAGGAGAAGAGTGTCCTAGGGCCCAGGGCCCTGATATAGCTCAGAGAGGTATTAACACCTGCAGCGTTTCACTCCACCCCTCCTCACTACTGCAAAATTGGGTTGGTTAAGTTTAAGGGCATTTTATTAGGTTGGGTTTCCTGGTAGTGAAAGGGGAACTCCAAAAGGGGATAAACAGGTTGGGTGCAGTGGCTCACGCCTGTAATCCCAGCACTCTGGGAGGACGAGGCGGGTGGATCGCTTGAGCTCACAGGTTCAATACCAGCCTGAGCAAGAGTCAGACCCTGTCTCTAAAAAATAGCCGGGCATTGTGGTGGATGCCTGTAGTCCCAGCTACTTGGGAGGCTGAGGCAAGAGAATCACTTGACCCCAAGAGTTTAAGGTTGCTGTGAGCTGTGATACCATGGTACTCTACTGGGGGCAAGAAAGTCAGACTCTGTCTCAAAAAAAAACGAGGAGTGGAATGAAGGTCACAGCTGCTTAAGAATGACCCTCCTCCTGCATCTCCCTAAAGCTGGAGCAGTGGTCACCAGAGGTGAGAATATGGCAAAGGTGGTCCCCTTTCATGGGGCACAATTGCTGGGAACTAGCCACCTGCCACACACACATATACCTAGAGGTGGTAGTACCTAGTTGTCATTGATAGAGTCACTTTCAGGCCACCATGGTTGGGTACTACCGGCACCTCTCCCATGGTCTCTCTCCCCACTCATCACTGGAATGGAGAAGGGTGGTGCAGTGGGATGCTCAAGGCATCCCATCCTGCTGGGACCTCCGTGGAATTTTATTTGAGTTGTTGCACCAGCTAGTGCCCCCTAGGGAAGGCTGCTGTCCCCCTCCCATTGTCTCTACCCCCAGTCTCCCCACCCTCCTTGGACAAACTCTTTCTTTCACTTGGCTGCCAAGCCCCCAGCCCAACCTGAGGCCAACCCCAGGTAACTTTATTTCTCCTGACTTTAACAAGCTTTGATGGGGGGCAGTGTTCCTCCCAAGACTTAGGTATTGTGGGTAAATAGATGGGGTCCCAGAACAGCCCATACATGAGGGCCTAGGAACACAACTGGGCCTGGCCCTCACATGCATGAAGGACGTCAGACGTAGGCTCTGTGGTTATCTCTGAGATCATGCCCACAGCCACAGCTGGCAGAATGGGAAAAAGAATGGTTTATAATAGATGCTTTATAAAAGATGGTTATAATTTGTCTCATTACCGGACAAATGCCTATCATGCCTGTAGCATGATCTAAACTCATTTTCAGAAGGGAAAAAGAAGACACCCACCAGATGGTTATAATTTGTCTCATTACTGGACAAATACTACTGTCATGCCTGTAGCATGATCTACATTCATTTTCTTTCTATAAATCCTGTAATTATTCTGTGAAGAGCACACTTACATTGCATTGCAACTTCTATTGCACTGGTGGTCAATAGAAGTTCATTCATTCCATGTTAAGATCTACAATATTCTAAAATAGTTTGTAAACGTCTTTGGCATTTCTTCTTTTTTTAATATATTTGGAGCTTCAATAAATGCAAGTGGTCTCAGTGTCTCTTGACCTTGCAGAGGCCTTGGTCTCTCAACCTGCTTTATTACGGGGTTATTTAGACCCAAGTAATAGAGAAACACTACCTTCTGCCTCACCTAGCCCAAGCTTTGGAATCAAAGCCCCAGCATGGGACAATACTACTTTGTGTTTTTTCTTTCATGTACATATTTCTCTTAAGAGCCCTCTGGTGCAGGAGGACTACAATCTAGGAAAGATTTGGGCCTGCCTGCCTCTCTCTCGACCACCCCCAGCCCCACCTCACCTCCTTGTTGACCACCATGTTGCACATGCACTCGGTGGCTGCCTGCCGCAGCTGGTCATGATTCTCAAACATGTAGTTCTCAATGTCCGGCAAGGCCCTCTCCTTAAAGATCTTCTGCCTAGGGCGGGTGGGTGCAAGAAGAGGGGTTCTTGAGTCTTCTGCAGTGAGCATGTATAGTTTCTGACCACCCAGAGACCATTCCTGCATCCTGGTGGGGTCCCTCCCACATCTTGGAGGTGTCCCCCCTGCATCCCCAGCCAGCATGGTTGTGCGGCATTGAACCTGCCTCCAGCTGCAGAGGGAGAACCCACAGGCATAAACTCAATGACACAGCACAACACCCTGGCCACTCCAGTGGGCTCTGTGATGACCACATCACCCAACTGAAGAGGCTCTGCATCACTGCTGGGAAAGAGAAATTCTTTCTTTCTCTTTCCTGTAGGACATGAGGCAAAGAAGATAGAAAGTCCAGGGCTTCCCTTGTGACCACAAGAGAGCACAAAAACCCATCTGAGAATTGCAACAACCCACAAAGTAAAGGAGAAACAGAGACATTGAGGACCCAGGGGAGCTTCGTAACCCCTGCGTCAAGCCGTACCTGACTCTGGTTGTCCCAGATTCTCAGCTTGCATGAAGCAGCAGACTTCCTCTGCGCTTATGCCAATTAGAATCGAGTCTTCTGCTACTTGCAACCAAAAGAAACCCAACCCAACACATTCCCCCCTACTCCTGCTTCCAAGCAGTACACTTTATCCCCACCCATCTGCCTGGGAGGGCTTTCGTGCTAGGTTAGGAAGAAGTGCCTTGCGGTGTCCTTTCTGGATTCCTACATTCACCCTGTGGTCTTTCCGAGAGCTAACCCCGTCCACTGCCTTCGATGTCCTCCTCCGAGCAGGGCAGTTTTAGCACATACCGCTCTCCACCCCTGCTCCCTCCACTCTGCCCCACTCACCGGAGTTTGTCACTCCGCCCAGACAGGTTGGTGAGGCCTAGGAGAGCCTCATAGTTCTGGATGCCGTCCCTCTGTGTGTCCAGGAGACTCACAAGGGGCCGCACCACCTCATACACCTGGGCAGGAGGCGAAAAAGTTTGGGTCAGGTGGGAACCATGCTCCCCCAGCACCTTACATTTCTAGGCCCAGCTTTAGATCTTCCAAAGTGCTTTTCCATACACTGTCCCAGTTAACTTTCACAATGACCCTGAGAAGCAGGATTATTTCCTTTACTCTGTAGAGGACAATTCTATTGTTTGGAGGCAGAACCAGGCCTGGAATCCAGATGCCACCAAGGCATTGCCCAGCCTATGACAACACCAAGCCCTGCTCTCAAGATAGGGGAGGTAACAAGGGGAAAGCCCCCTAGAAGCAGAAGAGCCTCTTCCTGCCGCCCCATCCCACGCATCCGATCACCCACCCTCTCCCCAGGGAAGGCGATGTCCGGATTGGAGACAGCAGCGATCTTTGCCAGGGCGTGGGCTGCCTTCACCTTGCCCACATCTGTGCCCTCCAAAGCCAGGGGGATCAGGGCCTGCAAGAAAGGGCAAGGTAACAAACAACTCAGCTGTAGAAAACAAATACTTCATCACGATCCACTGCCCCTGGTGCCCAACACACATCAAAGTCTTTACTCTCACTTCCTCCCACTCACCCAAATGTTCCTTCAGCTCTTGGGAAAATAAATCAACATTTGACTTTTGACCAAGCCAAACCCCATCATAATTGCAGCTATTTACTGAGCACCTACTGCAAGCCAATAATTTCTGTATGTTTTCTCTAATTAGTGTGACATTTTGCTAAGAGAGTATGTGATTTCCCCCCTATTTTCCAGATAAAAGAAATGGTGGATCAAGGAGATTAACTAATTGGCCCAAAGTTACACAGCCAAAAAAGAAGAAGAGCAAAGTCCCCACCCCAAGTCTCCCACATCTGTCTTTGCGCCAGGATTCCTTCCAATAGCAAAGAGGAGAAGTGGGATCCAAAAGTACATACCATGACCCAGCACAAAGTCAAGGGAAATTGGTTGGGGGCTGTGAGCACCGGATAGATAACTGAGTGACTGACTGTCTTCCGGGAGGTTGGGTTGGGCCAGGGACTACATTATTCTTGGGTCAGGCCAGGAGCATGCATGCCCATGCAGGTGTGCACACACACACACACAGTATGCTTCTCCCCTGTGGAACACCTTCCAGGATGGCAATGACCTTGTCCTGCCCAATTACCTTGCCACCACCTTGAGCCACAATAGTGCCTCGGTCCTTTGGATTGTCACACAGTGCCAGGAAGACCCTGTAGGACCACCGAGAAGGGAGAACATGTACTGCATCAGCCCACCCTTCCAGGGATCAGCAGGCCAGTGACACTCTGGGACAAGTAGTGAAACCCTGGAAAGTGCAACTTATGTTCCCAGAATTAGGCACCTTGGGAAGATACTGCCATGAGGCTGGGGAAAAATGAGGTCAAGTGAGGCTTCAAAGAGACCCTCATTCATATTTAAGGAAACCACCCCAAAGAAACTCTTCAACAAGGAAGCACCCAGCACCTCAACAATCTGGCCCTGGCCTCCCCTCTGGTTTCATCTAGCACCACCCTTTCCAGTGCACTCCCTGTTTCAGATATACTGTAGGAGAAACCCAAATTCATTTACTCTCCCTCAGTCCTCAGTAGCTTTGCAGATTCTGTTCCCTCTACCTGGACTCTTTCTTCCCCTGGGTTTGGGCAGGAGCTCCATTGAGTTTGCACATCCTCCAGGAAGCCTGCCTGGCTGCCCACCCACCTCCCCTCCATCCGTGCTCCAACCAGCCCTCTGGACTTTCCCCATCAGGGCACCACCACCTTGCACTGCGACTGCAATCTTGTCTGCCACCCCCACTAGGCTGCCCAGAGACTGTGCCTTTAATCTCTGGAACAAGGTAACCAGAATGGACCACGTCCTCCTCCCTCCTGTTGCAAACTTCCACCTGTGATGACCAGCCCACCGTGCTGCTTTTCAAAGCTAATCCCCTCAGTCCCTTTCCAGGCCCCTCAGTGGCTCATTCCCTCATTTAGACCCATCATTCCTGTCTCCCTGCCCAGCCTCCTGTCCTCCAGGCCCCTCAGGCCCCAGCCCCGGCCCACTGCAGCCACACCTGGCCAGAAGCTCCTTGGTCTGGTCAGTGAGGATGGCACTGTCTGCTTTCACCATACAGGCCAGCGCAGAGATGACACCTGCCTTCAGAAGCCGCTTCACCCGCATGTCTATAAAGTCCTTCTTGTCCTGGGGAGATGAAAAGGGTGGCAGTGGAGAAGAGGCCTGCATGCCAGGCCAATTTGTATTGGAACCAATGACAGTACATACCTGAATTCTTCAGGTAGGTTGAATGGCCCCCAGAGAGACCCACATCCTAATCCCTAGAACCTGTGAATGTATGACTTTACAAAAGCAAAAGTGACCTTGAAGATGAGACTAAGGATCTGGAGATGGGAAGATAATCTTAGATTATGGGGGTGGGGTCAATGTAATCACAGGGTTTTTATAAAAAGGGAGGCCGGGGCTGGGCACAGTGGCTCATGCCTGTAATCCCAGGACTTTAAGTGTCCAAGGTGGGAGGATCACTTGGAACTAGAAGCTCAAGATCAACATGAGCAACATGGCTCAAGACTCCATCTCTACAAAAAAATTCAAAAATTAGCCAGATATGGCTGGACGCTGTGGCTCATGCCTGTAATCCCAGCACTCTGAGAGGCCAAGGCAGGTGAATTGCCTAAACTCACGAGTTCAAGACCAGCCTGAGCTAGAGTGAGACCCCAGTCTCTAAAAAAATAGCCAGGTGTTGTGGCAGGCACCTGTAGTCCCAACTATTCAGGCAGGTGAAGCAAGAGAATCACTTGAGCCCAAGAATTTGAGGTTGCTGTGAGCTATGACGTCACAGCACTCTACCAGGGGTGACAAAGGGAGACTTTGTCTCAGAATAATAAAAATAAAAAACAAAAACATGCCAGGTGTGGTGGCATGCACCTGTAGTCCCAGCTACTCAGGAGACTGAGGCAGGACGATCTGTTGAGCCAAAGGTTTCAGGCTGCAGTGAGCTGTGATTGGGCCACTGCACTCCAGCCTTTAAAAAAAAAAAAGGGTTGGGGAGGGAGGCAGGAAGAACAGAGTTAGTGCTAAATGTGAAAATGGAAGGGAAGCAAGAGGTTGAAGGAATGTAGGTGGCTCCTAGAAGCTGAAAAGGTAAGAAAACAGATTCTTCCATCCAGCTTCCAGAAGGAACCAGTTGACACCTTCATTTTAGCCCAGTGAGACTGCTTTTAAGACTTCTGACCTCTAGAACTGTAAGAAAATAACTGCTATTTTAGGTCATTGTGTTTCTGGCAGCATGCTGTACAAGCAATCTTAGATACCCTTCTTCAGAGCCCTTTTCTCAGACAACTGCCAAGGGGTACCCAGCATGTCTTTCCTGAGCGCTGATACTGTAAGATAATCAACCCCAAAGACCCTCTCATTCACAGAGGAGTGAAATAAAGGAATGATGATCTAAAACCTCAGATGAGGCTCGGCGCCTGTGGCTCAAGTGGCTAAGGCGCCAGCCACATACACCTAAGGTGGCGGGTTCGAATCCCCAGCCCGGGCCCGCCAAATAACAATGATGGCTGCAACCAAAAAATAGCCGGGCGTTGTGGTGGGTGCCTGTGGTCCCAGCTACTTGGGAGGCGGAGGCAGGAGACTCGCTTGAGCCCAGGAGTTGGAGGTTGCTGTAAGCTGTGATGCCACAGCACTCTACCTAGGGGGACAGCTTGAGGCTCTGTCTCAAAAAAATAAAAAAATAAAAATAAATAAACGAAACCTCAGATGACCCTTTTCTTGGGGGCGGGGAGAGAATATAGGCAGGAGTAAAAGGAGATGAGACAGCAGATGAAGCTGCCACAACAATGGATTGGGTTTTCCTGGAAAGCCATAGTCAATCCAGGGTTGCACAATCACCACTGACAATCCTCAGGGTGGGGATTAGTCAGGAAGTGGATGATGGTCACGGGCAACCTTTAGAAACCACAGACAAACTTTGCAGCCACAGAACACTCATCTCTGCTCTCGCCTTGAGGATATCCTCTGAACTTTTACAAACGGTGCAGAGAATGCCACGGCAATGTGGAAAACACAAAATCATAGCTATATCCTGGTAACAACTGTGAAAACAAAAAACGTGCTAAGAGGCCAAGCGTGGTAGCTCATGCTTGTAATCCTAGCACTCTGGGAGGCTGAGGCAGGTAGATTGCTTGAGCTCATAGTTTCGACACCAGCCTGAGCAAAATCGAGACCCCCATCTCTACTAAAAATACAAAAACTGAGGCAAGAGGATCTCTTGAGCCCGAGAGTTGGAGGCTACTGTGAGCTATAATGCCACAGCACTCTACCCAGGGTGACAGCTTGAGACTCTGTCCCCAGGGCGGGAAAAATATGCTAAGAATAAACAAAAGCTCTGGTAAGTAACAAGACATACCAAAATGCCAACAGTGGTCATGCGGAGACAATGTTGTTATGAGTGGTTATTCTCTGTTATCTATTTTTTTTTTCATTTCTTTACGAAGCATGATTATATCACTTTGGGGGGCAGGGTTAATGCACATGATTTTACTGGCTGGGGATATACCCATATGCAAACCACACCTTGCGTACAGGGAAGCACCAGGGAGGAAGGGCCCCAGACTTAGCTCCCACATTACAAATCCAGCCATCCCAGAAAACTCACATCATTATCAGTTCTGGAAACATGATATAAAATTGTCTTATATCTAACCCACATGTAATAAACGTAAAATGCTAAGGTTCCTCAGGTCTTTTTTTCTCAGGCTGCAAAATTAAAACTAAGAAAAAACATGAGCGCTATCTGGTGGGCACATTAATCATCGTCCTCTTCAATTGCTCTGAAGCATCATTTTATCCTCCATCCTCCCAAACACACCTGCATAGCACCTGTCACCACTCTGTCCCATGCCATCTTTTCTGGAGGCCTGCTGGTACAGACCTTTCCCGGGCCATCTCTGCACCCACCTTGGGGTGTTCCTCGGGGACGTGCTGCTTGGAGAACTTGGCAAGCTGAACGAGCTCCGGGATGACCTCCTTGACATCATAGCTGTTTGTGCAGTTCACCAGGGTGGTGGCCACTGAGTACAGGATGGTCTTATCACTGCTCTGAAGCCACAAGATGGGGGGAGGCAGAAAAGATGCGTTAAGGCTTGGTGCCCGTAGCTCAGTGGTTAGGGTGCTGGCCACAGACACTGGAGCTGGAGGGTTCGAACCTGGCCCAGGCCTGCTAAACAACAATGACAACAACAAAAATATATCCAGGCATGTGGCGGGTGCTTATAGTCCCAGCTACTTGGGAGGCTGAAGCAAGAGAATCTCTTAAGCCCAAGAGTTGGAGGTTGCTGTGAGCTGTGATGCCAAGGCACTCTAC